AGGCTGGGAAGACCAGTGATGTTTGACAGGAGGCTGGGAAGACCAGTGATGTTTGACAGGAGGCTGGGAAGACCAGTGATGTTTGACAGGAGGCTGGGAAGACCAGTGATGTTTGACAGGAGGCTGGGAAGACCAGTGATGTTTGACAGGAGGCTGGAAGACCAGTGATGTTTGACAGGAGGCTGGGAAGACCAGTGATGTTTGACAGGAGGCTGGGAAGACCAGTGATGTTTGACAGGAGGCTGGGAAGACCAGTGATGTTTGACAGGAGGCTGGGAAGACCAGTGATGTTTGACAGGAGGCTGGGAAGACCAGTGATGTTTGACAGGAGGCTGGAAGACCAGTGATGTTTGACAGGAGGCTGGGAAGACAGTGATGTTTGACAGGAGGCTGGGAAGACCAGTGATGTTTGACAGGAGGCTGGAAGACCAGTGATGTTTGACAGGAGGCTGGGAAGACCAGTGATGTTTGACAGGAGCTGGGAAGACCAGTGATGTTTGACAGGAGGCTGGGAAGACCAGTGATTTTGACAGAGGCTGGGAAGACCATGATGTTTGACAGGAGGCTGGGAAGACCAGTGATGTTTGACAGGAGGCTGGAAGACCATGATGTTTGACAGAGGCTGGGAAGACCAGTGATGTTTGACAGGAGGCTGGGAAGACCAGTGATGTTTGGGCAGGAGGCTGGGAAGACCAGTGATGTTTGACAGGAGGCTGGGAAGACCAGTGATGTTTGACAGGAGGCTGGGAAGACCAGTGATGTTTTGACAGGAGGCTGGAAGACCATGATGTTTGACAGGAGGCTGGGAAGACCAAATGATGTTTGACAGGAGCTGGGAAGACCAGTGATGTTTTGACAGGAGGCTGGGAAGACCAGTGATGTTTGACAGGAGGCTGGAAGACCATGATGTTTGACAGGAGGCTGGGAAGGACCATGATGTTTGACAGAGCTGGAAGACCAGTGATGTTTGACAGGAGGCTGGGAAGACCTGATGTTTGACAGGAGGCTGGGAAGACCAGTGATGTTTGACAGGAGGCTGGGAAGACCAGTGATGTTTGACAGGAGCTGGAAGACCAGGATGTTTGACAGGAGGCTGGGAAGACCAGTGATTTTGACAGGAGGCTGGGAAGACCAGTGATGTTTGACAGGAGGCTGGGAAGACCATGATGTTTGACAGGAGCTGGGAAGACCAGTAATGTTTACTAGGAGTGCTGAAGGACAGTGATTTTGACAGGATCGGAAGAACCATGATTTTGACAGGAGGCTCGGAAGACCAGTGATGTTATACAGGATGCTGGGAAGACCATGATAATGACAGGAGGCTGGGAAGTCCATGTGGATGTTTGACAGAGGCTGGAAGACCAGTGATGTTGACAGGTAGGCTGGAAACTCAGTGATGTTTGACCAGAGGCTGGGAAGACCTGATGTCTGACAGGGGCTGGGAAGACCAGTGATGTTTGACAGGAGGTGGAAAGACCAGTTGATGTTTGACAGGAGGCTGAGGAAGACCATTGATGTTTGACAGGAGGTGGAAGAACCAGTGATGTTTGACAGGAGGCCTGGGAAGACCAGTGATGTTTGACATAGGCTGGATAGACCATTGTATTGTTGACAGATTTGACTTTCGGAAGATCACAGTGATTTGACAGAGGCTGGAAGACTAGGAGTTTAAAGGGGTTGGTAAGACCAATTGATGTTTGACAGGATGCTGGAGACAAGATGTTTGACAGGAGGCTGGGAAGACCAGTGATGTTTGACAGGAGGCTGGGAAGACCATTGATGTTTGACAGGAGGCTGGGAAGACCAGTGATGTTTGACAGGAGGCTGGGAAGACCAGTGATGTTTGACAGGAGGCTGGGAAGACCAGTGATGTTTGACAGGAGGCTGGGAAGACCAGTGATGTTTGACAGGAGGCTGGGAAGACCAGTGATGTTTGACAGGAGGCTGGGAAGACCATTGATGTTTGACAGGAGGCTGGGAAGACCAGTGATGTTTGACAGGAGGCTGGGAAGACCATTAATGTTAATACTAGGTTAGTGTGAAGGTCAACAAGTATTCATTAAAACATTGATAGGAATGTATTACGATAAATATTGTAAGACGATTAAGAGGTTCTCCCGCCACCTAGGGATTATAATATATGGTTTTGCACTTCGTCTAGCCGCCATAACAATTAGATCAATTTCGTCTAAATATCCCTACTGTGGGAAAATTGCAGACCTGGAGATAGTGCAGAGAACGTTCACTGCTTACATACACTCAGTGTAGCACCTAAGTTGCTGGGAACGTTTGACGTGCCTCGATCTGTACTCCTTGAAGCGTAGACGAGAGAGAGAGAGAGAGAGAGAGAGAGAGAGAGAGAGAGAGATAGAGAGAGAGAAGGGAGGGAGGGAGAGAGAGAGAGAGGGAGGGGTGTGAAGTCCCTTGATCTATACTTCCTTGGACAATTTTTCACCTTGTCTAGCAGCCATAAGAGTACCATCAGTCAACTCTCAACTTCCCCACTCTGGACCTAGCGAATTTATTAGTTCTTACAAATGTATTTTTGACTTCAAAATCACGGAGAAATATGATTACACACTGGATCCTGCCTGTCACTTTCAGAAAAATATATTTGCTTTTGAGTTTAAAGGAATTAATTTTTCAAATACTGTATGTGTCGTCAAAATTCACTCTCTAATTACAGACTTCATCCTTCAGTGTAACGTAAGATGAATACAACGTGACACGCTGAATACATCCTCCAGTACAGTGTAACAGGTTGACTACATCCTCCAGTACAGTGTAACAGGTTGACTACATCCTCCAGTACAGTGTAACAGGTTGACTACATCCTCCAGTACAGTGTGTTGCTACATCTCCAGTACAGTGTAGTTGCTACATCCTCCAGTACAGTGTAACAGGTTGGACTACATCCTCCAGTACAGTGTAACAGGTTGGCTACATCCTCCAGTACAGTGTAACAGGTTGACTACATCCTCCAGTACAGTGTAACAGGTTGACTACATCCTCCAGTACAGTGTAACAGGTTGACTACATCCTCCAGTACAGTGTAACAGGTTGGCTACATCCTCCAGTACAGTGTAACAGGTTGACTACATCCTCCAGTACAGTGTAACAGGTTGGCTACATCCTCCAGTACAGTGTAACAGGTTGACTACATCCTCCAGTACAGTGTAACAGGTTGACTACATCCTCCAGTACAGTGTAACAGGTTGGCTACATCCTCCAGTACAGTGTAACAGGTTGACTACATCCTCCAGTACAGTGTAACAGGTTGGCTACATCCTCCAGTACAGTGTAACAGGTTGACTACATCCTCCAGTACAGTGTAACAGGTTGGCTACATCCTCCAGTACAGTGTAACAGGTTGACTACATCCTCCAGTACAGTGTAACAGATTGACTGCATCCTCCAGTACAGTGTAACAGGTTGACTACATCCTTCAGTACAGTGTAACAGGTTGACTACATCCTCCAGTTCAGTGTAACAGATTGACTACATCCTCCAGTACAGTGTAACAGGTTGACTACATCCTCCAGTACAGTGTAACAGATTGACTACATCCTCCAGTACAGTGTTACAGGTTGACTACATCCTCCAGTACAGTGTAACAGATTGACTGCATCCTCCAGTACAGTGTAACAGGTTGACTACATCCTCCAGTACAGTGTAACAGGTTGAATACGTCCTCCAGTACAGTGTAACAGGTTGAATACATCCTCCAGTACGGTGTAACAGGTTGAATACATCCTCTAGTACGGTGTAACAGGTTGAATACATCCTCCAGTACAATGTAACAGGTTGAATACATCCTCCAGTACAATGTAACAGGTTGAATACATCCTCCAGTACGGTGTAACAGGTTGAATACATCCTCTAGTACGGTGTAACAGGTTGAATACATCCTCCAGTACAGTGTAACAGGTTGAATACATCCTCCAGTACAGTGTAACAGGTTGACTGCATCCTCCAGTACAGTGTAACAGGTTGAATACATCCTCCAGTACAGTGTAACAGGTTGAATACATCCTCCAGTACATGTAACAGGTTGAATACATCCTCCATACAGTGTAACAGGTGAATACATCCTCCAGTACAATGTAACAGGTTGAATACATCCTCCAGTACAGTGTAACAGGTTGAATACATCCTCCAGTACAGTGTAACAGGTTGAATACATCCTCCAGTACAATGTAACAGGTTGAATACATCCTCCAGTACAGTGTAACAGGTTGAATACATCCTCCAGTACAGTGTAACAGGTTGAATACATCCTCCAGTACAATGTAACAGGTTGAATACATCCTCCAGTACAGTGTAACAGGTTGAATACATCCTCCAGTACAGTGTAACAGGTTGAATACATCCTCCAGTACAGTATAACAGGTTGAATACATCCTCCAGTACAGTGTAACAGGTTGAATACATCCTCCAGTACAGTAACAGTTGAATCATTCAGTAAAATATACAGGTTGAATACATCCTCCAGTACAGTGTAACAGGTTGAATACATCCTCCAGTACAGTGTAACAGGTTGAATACATCCTCCAGCACAATAAAATTTAAAATGTTAGTTATATCCTCCACTACAGTTTATGAAGCTAAGTACTTCCTCCAGCAAGATTCAATGGACTGATTACATCCTCCAGTACACGTAATGGACTGAATACATTATGTTAGGAAGAGTACTTTCTCCAGTAATAAATTCCTCGTACGACTACTCCAGTTTTCAAAGAATGGAGAAGCTCTCCTTGTGTTTTTGCAAAGTCTAGACACACTAAATTTGAGGCACAATAAACACGTCTGTGTGCTCGCGTTTGCCACACGTAATATAATATATATATATATATATATATATATAATATATATATATATATATATATATATATATATATATATATATATATTTATATATATATATATATATATATATATATATATATATATATATATATATATATATATATATATATATATATATATAATCTCGTGCTGATTAAGCTGAATTGCCAAGTTTGACTTATTCGGCAAGAATTCGGCCGAATTAGAATGATTTTTTTTCCATAAATCATCGGATATCAATCTGAAGATAACGATAATAAATACATATTATTGAGTTGTAGCAATATTAAATAATTTCAACTGACCTATGCTATACATAGCAGAAGTTAGCTAAAAAAAAGTAAGTTAGGTGAGGTTTCTGAGTTAAGTTTGATCCAAAAATATATTTTATATCACTGTCAGTGAAAAAATATATCTATCAGTCTATAAGATATTTTTTTCTGAAAGTCAAATTTTAAAGGGAGTTCGACCTATCCGGTAAGTCCGGCTTAATAAGCACGATTTACATACAAGGATACAATTGACGTACTGTCAACAGGTAACATTGGTCAGGAAAAGAGGACACATGCTTCCTGGCTTATGATGACCAGTCAGTGGCACTTGTGGTCATATAACCGAGGTTTTCCGCTGGCTTCCCTAACCAGTTCTTTAGAAAATAATATAATATAATTTTTTAATCGCTACCAACAGTAATAAGGAAATATGTTCCAGGTGAGGCTTTTCTTGGGACAACTTTGAGCTCCGATGCTCTGTTGACTTCAGCTCTACACACAGCAAAACATTGTCCCAACAAACGGTTGTTGTGCAACTTGTCTTTGTCTTCATTAAGGTAACCTGATGTTCACACAAAGGTAACCTTGTTGACGTCAGTTGTTTGTGGCACAGCATTGAAGGTGTTAAGTGCCTGCAGTGCCAGCTTGTTAGCCAGGTTGCCCCGTGTAGTGAGCCAGCGGTCTCGGGCCAGCTTAACATACTGCTTGTACATCTTGGTTTCCTCTAGTTCACGCTGTTCCTGACGTACGAAGTTGGCCATCATGAAGACGATGCCAAAGGAGTAGAAGGCGAGCACCACGACGATGTAGATGACAGCATCGTTATCTTCCTCCCGTTGCTTCTTCTTGCGCTCCCACACGAAGTAACGATGTATGAAGGTCTCCAGCGAAGCCTCAGTTACGTTGATGCAGCTGTGAGTTCCATTACACAGTGTTGGGATCACCAGAAGCAGCAGTGGTGCGCACTCCTCTGCTACTTTGTCTGGAACTGTGTGCACATCCTCCTCTCTGTGCTTGTCACAAGTCGTCTGTTGCTTCTTAGAAGTGTTAAGATGATGTGCTCTCAACCACTCTCTCAGACACTGCCACTTGTCAACCTCTCTTACATCCCGACTCTCATCCTCCTCTTTCCTCTCCTCGGAGTGGCTGAGTGCCTTGCCTTCCTTTGATTCCAACAGTTTTCTTAATACACTCTGAGAGAGTCGTAGTCTCTCCGGGAGTGCATCACTCTCTCCCTGGAGCCGCTCTCTCACAGCTTTGAAGGAAGGTTGTATGCGAGGGTGATGGTGTTTGCTGCTGGGGTGACTGTGTGTTTTGTTGCTGTTGTGCGTCCTACTGTGGTTGTGTCTGTTGCTGCTGTGGTTGTGCCTGTTGCTGCTTCTGTTGTTGTGCCTGTTGTTGCTGCTGCTGCTGCTGTTGTGCCTGTTGCTGCTGTTGTTGTTGTGTCTGTTGCTGCTTTCGTGTCTTTTGCTTCTGTGGTTGCGAGTGCTGCTGTAGGTGTGTGTTTTGCTGCTGTTGGGGAGGGAGGCGAGTAGTGAGCCCAGAAGACGTGAGTCTCTTGCATAAACATATCTATGTGAAGCGCTAAAACCGTGTGAGTAATTGAGCGCCGTGTTGTGTGGTGCAGGAGAGGCTGTAGTTACCGCTACCCACGTCACCACCACCATCACCACCACCATCATCACACAGCATTCGCTGCACCAACACATCCTCACAATCTGCAACAGACACTCAAATTTAAAACCAGCATCCTGTGCTTGAGTGCAATAATAAACAGCCTACATGTGTGTGTGTATATATATATATATATATATATATATATATAAAATATATAATATATATAATATATATATAATATATATATAAATATATATATATATATATATATAATATATAAATGGGCAATTATTTTTAATTAATAAAACTGCTACAAATGCAAAAAAAAAAATCGAAATATCCAGGTAAAAGTTCATAAAAGTAAGCAACACCTGGCGTCAGCAGATTGGTCATATATAACAACGTTCAAAAGGGATCGAAAAAAAATATTTGGTGCATAAGACTTTAACAACCTGCAAAGTTATCCCCCATTTACTGTGACTTTCATATGTTGTCAACAATGTTTTCTATACAGTAGAATGTTGTCAACAATGCTTTCTATACAGTAGAATGTTGTCAACAATACTTTCTATACAGTAGAATGTTGTCAACAATGCTTTCTATACAGTAGAATGTTGTCAACAATACTTTCTATACAGTAGAATGTTGTCAACAATGCTTTCTATACAGTAGAATGTTGTCAAAAATACTTTCTATACAGTAGAATGTTGTCAACAATGCTTTCTATACAGTAGAATGTTGTCAACAATACTTTCTATACAGTAGAATGTTGTCAACAATGCTTTCTATACAGTAGAATGTTGTCAACAATGCTTTCTATACAGTAGAATGTTGTCAACAATACTTTCTATACAGTAGAATGTTGTCAACAATACTTTCTATACAGTAGAATGTTGTCAACAATACTTTCTATACAGTAGAATGTTGTCAACAATACTTTCTATACAGTAGAATGTTGCCAACAATACTTTCTGTACAGTAGAATGTTGTCAACAATGCTTTCTATACAGTAGAATGTTGTCAACAATGCTTTCTATACAGTAGAATGTTGTCAACAATGCTTTCTATACAGTAGAATGTTGTCAACAATACTTTCTGTACAGTAGAATGTTGTCAACAATACTTTCTGTACAGTAGAATGTTGTCAACAATACTTTCTGTACAGTAGAATGTTGTCAACAATACTTTCTATACAGTAGAATGTTGTCAACAATACTTTCTATACAGTAGAATGTTGTCAACAATACTTTCTGTACAGTAGAATGTTGTCAACAATACTTTCTGTACAGTAGAATGTTGTCAACAATACTTTCTGTACAGTAGAATGTTGTCAACAATACTTTCTATACAGTAGAATGTTGTCAACAATACTTTCTATACAGTAGAATGTTGTCAACAATACTTTCTATACAGTAGAATGTTGTCAACAATACTTTCTATACAGTAGAATGTTGTCAACAATACTTTCTATACAGTAGAATGTTGTCAACAATACTTTCTATACAGTAGAATGTTGTCAACAATACTTTCTGTACAGTAGAATGTTGTCAACAATACTTTCTGTACAGTAGAATGTTGTCAACAATACTTTTCTGTACAGTAGAATGTTGTCAACAATACTTTCTATACAGTAGAATGTTGTCAACAATACTTTCTATACAGTAGAATGTTGTCAACAATACTTTCTATACAGTAGAATGTTGTCAACAATACTTTCTATACAGTAGAATGTTGTCAACAATACTTTCTGTACAGTAGAATGTTGTCAACAATACTTTCTATACAGTAGAATGTTGTCAACAATACTTTCTATACAGTAGAATGTTGTCAACAATACTTTCTGTACAGTAGAATGTTGTCAACAATACTTTCTGTACAGTAGAATGTTGTCAACAATACTTTCTATACAGTAGAATGTTGTCAACAATACTTTCTATACAGTAGAATGTTGTCAACAATACTTTCTGTACAGTAGAATGTTGTCAACAATACTTTCTATACAGTAGAATGTTGTCAACAATACTTTCTATACAGTAGAATGTTGTCAACAATACTTTCTATACAGTAGAATGTGTCAACAATACTTTCTATACAGTAGAATGTTGTCAACAATACTTTCTGTACAGTAGAATGTTGTCAACAATACTTTCTGTACAGTAGAATGTTGTCAACAATACTTTCTATATGTTTTTTTTCTTTGCTGGTATATTAATTTTTGATTGGTGTGAATATTCTGAAGCTGATGAGACATTTTGCTGTTTATTTTTGTAAAGTGTTAAACGGAGGGTTGGAATTTATCAGCATTTGTTGTTGCTTCTTAATTAAAAAAAATAGTTGTCATATAAAAAAAAGGACCTTCGCAATTTTGTGCGAATTGTTGAGAGAGAGAGAGAGAGAGAGAGAGAGAGAGAGAGAGAGAGAGAGAGAGAGAGAGAGAGAGAGAGAGAGAGACGAAGCTTCACATAATGCACGAGAGTGACAGGAAATTTTCTCTCTCTCTCTCACAATCAATACATTTATTTGGTAAAGCAAGGTTTCTGTAATACAATAATCATCATTAGCACCTGTAAAAATAAAGTCAGACTCGCACAGCATGACAGATAATAGGTTCACATGGACTCTGAAAGGTAGTGGACTCTCTTTAATGAATGCACTTTAGTGGACTCTTTAATGAATGCACTTTAGTGGACTCTTTAATGAATGCACTTTAGTGGACTCTCTTTAATGAATGCACTTTAGTGGACTCTTTAATGAATGCACTTTAGTGGACTCTTTAATGAATGCACTTTAGTGGACTCTTTAATGAATGCACTTTAGTGGACTCTTTAATGAATGCACTTTAGTGGACTCTTTAATGAATGCACTTTAGTGGACTCTTTATGAATGCACTTTAGTGGACTCTTTAATGAATGCACTTTAGTGGACTCTTTAATGAATGCACTTTAGTGGACTCTTTAATGAATGCACTTTAGTGGACTCTTTAATGAATGCACTTTAGTGGACTCTTTAATGAATGCACTTTAGTGGACTCTTTAATGAATGCACTTTAGATGCATTTTGCTCCTCACAAACCTCTCTAAATTCAAATCAAATACTGCTTCATTTGCCACTTGACTGTGTGTGTGTGTGTGTGTGTGTGTGTGTGTGTGTGTGTGTGGTGTGTGTGTGTGTGTGTGTGTCGGTGTGTGTGTGTGTGTGTGTGTGGTGTGTTGTGTGTGGTGTGTGTTGTGTGTGTGTGGTGTGTGTGTGTGTGTGTGTGTGTGTGGTGGTTCGGTGTGTGTGTGTGTGTTGTGTGGTGTGTGGTGTGTAGGTGTGGATTTTGTGTGTCAGTTTTGCACTCACCTAATTGTACTCGCCTAATTGTGGTTGCAGGGGTCGATTCATAGCTCCTGGCCCCGCCTCTTCACTGATCGCCACTAGGTCCACTCTCTCCCTGCTCCATGAGCTTAATCATACCTCTTCTTAAAGCTATTTATGGATCCTGCCTTCGCTACCTCACTTTCCAGACTGTTATCCGACACACATGGCTGAGAACTTTCCTAGACTCCGTCTGATCACTGTCCTACTAACACTATGGACCCTGTTGATGTGACCCATCTCTGGAGCATCTGTCTCTGTCCACCATGTTGGTTCCTCTAAGTATTTTATATGTCGTTATAGTGTCCTCCCTCTCTCTTCTGTTCTTCAGTGTCGTTGAGTCGAGTTCTCTTAACATCTCCTCATAGGACATGCCCCTTAGCTCCAGAACTAGTCTCGTTGCAAACCTTTACACATTCTCTAGTTTCCTGATGTGCTTAGCCAGGTGTGGGTTCCAAACCGGTTCTGCATACTCCAATATGGGTTTGATGTACACGGTGTACAGGGTCTGAAGCGATTCCTTACTGAGATGTCGGAATGCTGTTCTTAGGTTCGCTAGTCGCCCATATGCTGCAGCAGTTGTATGGTTGATGTGCGCCTCAGATGTGCTCGGTATTATACTCACCCCAAGATCCTTTCCTATGAGTGAGGTTTGTAGTCTTTGGCCACCTAGACTGTACTGTCTGCGGTCTTCTTTGCCCTTCTCCGATCTTCATGACTGCACTTGGTGGGGTTGAACTCCAGCAGCCAGTTGCTGGACCAGGCCTGTAGCCTGTCCAGATCCCTCCGTAGTCCTGCCTTATCCTCCTTCGACTAAATTCTCCTCACTCATTACTTCACATCCCTTATATATTTTCTCCCTTATTTTAGCTTTAAATAACTGCCTCAGTTCATATATTCACAATTGTTAAAATAATCAAAGTGCTATTCTCAGGTGCTAAAGTGTAATAAGTTCACTATTTTGCCATTAAAATATTCCAGGTGCTATTGACTACCTCAGGTGCTACTGATTTTACTTTTAATACATCTTTATTATTATATCCATTAGCTCCTTTATTTTACTGTAAATATCTACTGTAGTTCATAAACTCACTTGTTAAAATAATTAAGGTGCTATTAGATACTTAAGTGTATAACTGAATTATCAATTCTGTAATAATCCCTTTTTCTTTTAAATTTTTACAAGTTTTAGAATATTCACGGAGTCTTATTCATAAGTCTAGTTGTAGATTCAATACAAATCATATATTATTTTACTCAGAAAATCTAGTTTGTAAAATTACTCTCACCCTGTGATTACAGACATAGATCCTGATGTAAACTTTTTACTAAATGAATTACATGAATCAACCAGTAACTGTAATTACTACACAGCAGACCAAGCAAAGACATTACTCAGTGCAAACAATAACATAACCATCTTTAACTACATTGCCAGATCCTTGAGCAAACATTATGATGACCTCACAGCATTACTCAGTTCCCTTCATTCCAGTATATCAATCATCACACTCACAGAAACCTGGCTTAAGCCTGATATTACAGATGTCTATACCATTCCTGGCTACATGGCCATACACAACTGTAGAACAGACCAGCAAGGGGGAGGAACAGCTATATACTACTCAAATCAACTCGAATGTATCAATAAATCTTGCACAAGGGACGAACATGGAGAATATATCATAGCCAAATTTAAATCCAAAGACCTGCAAAAACCCCCTCACAGTTATAAACATATACA